GGGTGACTATGCTGTATTAAGGCAATACACATGACTAGATCAGGACACTCAGTCTTGTGCATCATCATGAAAATAAAACTTCAGGATCTAGGACTAGGAGGAGGAAACAGAAAAAGTTACTAGATACATGAGACAAAACAGATAAGGTTGCATTCTGGGAGCACAAACAAATTTTGTGGTCAAGAAATATTCTTTTACTCAGCAATTATTGAATGGGCATTCACTGTGTATCCAATGTTGTATCTGACTATGAAAATGCAAACCTAATATAAAATTATTCTAGTCTCCTTCTTAAATCTGGGAACAAGGAAGTAGTAAGGCAAATAAATGAATGAATGAATGGATTTTGAAAAAGCCCCAGAAAAGTGGACGTTTACCAAGCAGAAGCGAAGTTAAGTAGTGAAAGCAGAAGAGCATGAGCATGTGGGAACATACATATTAATACCATTATACATTTAACTGCCTAACAGATTTGGGAACTTGCTAAAGATTATTCACAGTAAATCAAAACTGAAGGTTAATCCAAACTTAATTTTAAATTTGCATTCATTTGTATTTGTGATGTAAATAAGACATCACATATGTTCTAGCATCACCCAGCTTGTTCACTTAACTTCAGCAGGTTGTAAATATTCCCTCTTTAGACAGCCCAAACAGAAGGCATTACAAAACAATGACCATAAGTCAGGGTCACATGCTCCCTCAAAGTAAGAAAAAATCCAAATATTTGAGAAATATTCAACTTGCATTTAGAAATTACAAAATTTAAGCAAAAATCTAATACAGAGAAAAACCTGTTCCCTTCTCCATCAAGTCCATGCTTAAATTATTTGGTAAAATGCTTTCAACAATTTCGGAATAAAAACTGACTTGGGGAAATAGCCATCTAAAGATACTGCACAATTTCCATGTTTATTTTAGAAGTGCCTTATTCCTTGGATGAAATATGGTTGAGATAATTCCCAAGGAGTTTAAGAATGAAATCTTACATAATTCAAAAGAATTCAACTGTCAACAATGAGATAAAATTAATTTCATATATTTTTAGATTCCGCAAATAACTAAAATCATATTTGTGTTTTATAGGTGTGGCACATTTTTTCCAGAGCCTCCTTTTTAAATATTCCAGTCAGAGAGTAAATTCTTACAAGAAAAGAGTGAAAAGTCATTATAACTTTATTCATGATGTCCTTACAGCTAAAACCATCTTTTTTTTTCCCCCAAACCTTTCAATACCTAATAAATAACCAGACCTGAGGTCCAGAGGAAGTTCTCATACCAATTCTATGAGGGTCAATCTTCACTTGTATTTGCACTTGGAAAGAGTGTTCACCTAGTAGATTCAAAAAAGGGTCTCTATAGAAACAAGTACCAGCAGAAGGATTCAGAGCCAAAAAGAAAGCAGAGAGAAATTAATGATAAGGCACTGAAACAAAGGAGGGAATCATGTTTTTACTCTCTAGATTTTATTGCTGTAGATTGCCTTTCAGGTCCACTTTTGTTTTTAGAACAAAACACTGTGTGTGTATGTGTGTGTGTGTGTGTGTGTTGTTCTCTAAATGTATTGTGGCTTTTGTGCCTAGTAAGGGAGTTTGAAAGTGACTGGAAAGAACGGCAAAACATTAAGGGGGAAGAAGATCAGTGTACATCAGTCTAGGAGGGGATTAGCCATGAACACTTTTCCCATCTATTAGTCATTTTGATAAAAAAAAATGATCATCACTACAGAAATTCTTTAGAGTGGTTTCAGAGAGAATATGAATTGAACTTAAATTTGGGAATTTTCTGAAATGGACAATATTGATAGAATGTTCCTTTTCTATTAAAAGTTAATTTAAGAGTATTTTTACCCTTTTGAAAACAACTTGAGTTGAGAGAAATTGCACCATATGCTGTGTTTATCCAGGAAGTGTAAAGCAAAGTGCTAAGCAATTACCTGGTGGATTTGATCAATTTTGACAGTCAGTCTTGAAATTCAAGCCAGAATCCTCTGCTTTTTCTTCTGCAGCAGGTTTTGGGAATGAATTATACGACTAATTACATCAAATTTCTACTTTACTTTGGCAATGGCCCCACAAATCCTGAATGTGTAAAATGGCTTCCCTGAGCTGCTTTAGCAATTCCATGTGTCATACGACTTTTATTTCAGAATACTTAATAAAAATATTCAAATGCCCTTTAAATTACTCTGGCCTGTCTTGTACCAAAGTCTTCCCAGTACATTACCTTTCCTCAACTCCTGCAGTTTGTATTCACTAAATATAGTATTTGATAACAGAATCCTAGTACAATTTATAATCTGATTAATACAAATTATTCCAGGAAGTTCTACTCATTCTTTGCTTGAAACATGTCCAAGAATCATGTAGATTATCTGTGTCATTTCCTTAGTGTATTACCATAATATAAGAAATGCATGGCATTCACATTGACAGTATATCCTTTGTGGTAATATATTAGTGAAATTGAGGTACTATCAAGATGAAAGCCATTAACATTAAACAGCTAGTGATTCTATAATCATCCACACCCACAAAAATTATCTAGACAGTCTATAAAGGGGTGTGTCACTCACTTTGGATACTTATGAAGCTAAAGCAATCTTTCTAAAACTTCTTATTGTGCAATAATCATTTTAACTTAGAGATAAATAGACATAGAAGAGAGGGATGGGATCTTACTTCCAAAAACAAAGTAAATTAACTTGGGGCAATTTATCTTTCACAGCATATTATGGGCAGTGGCAGCAGGCCCCAGATGTACTCTTCATAAGGAGCCTAAAAAGACATCTGTGAGGTAGGGGAAAATGGGATCTATATTCAAAGAGTAGCAGTAATGCAATGTCAACTACACCACAGAAAGAAAACAGGAAAAAATATCTTCTTGTACACCTTTTCATTTTCCTTGCCAGATCCATGGTAAGAGAAATGTTCTAATTCATATATACTAGTGGACCCAGCTAAAACGGAGAGAGCAAAGGGACACAGGAATGAGATGCAGACAAACAGGTGGAACAGGGGGAGGGAGGGAGACAGAGATGACTTGAATGTACTGCATAATGGAGAATAAGAGCCAGATACTATTAAGTAGTAGCTTTCTATTTAATTTTTCTCTTGATTTTGAATAAAAATGGAATTTAAATATGCCCATGTTAAATCTTACAAGATGCTGTCACAAAAAAATTTCTTACTTATTTTCTGTTTGCATTAAATAGTTTTTATTGCATGTCTGCCAGAGAAAGACATGAATCATGTCCACTACTACTAACCATGAGGACCTGTGTGTCACTGCCTGATGGCTCACAGGTGGCTTCCTGGCCATATTTAGATCATCACTATCACTTTGGTCACCCAGGTCATGCAGGTAAAATCAAAATCAAACAATATGTCTTTTAACAAATCACTTAGGGATTCACAAAATAAGGCAGGGTTATTACATTAAGAACCTAATATTAAGTAGATGATTTCTTTAATTTTCACTCATTTCAGTATTTCCAACTGAGTGGGGACAGGGAATGAGAGGGAGAGATAATAAAAACAAAAAGATGAATGGATAAAGAAGATGTGGAACATATACACAATGGAATACTATTCAGCCATAAGAAAGAAACAAATCCTACCATTTGCAACCACATGGATGGAGCTGGAGGATATTATGCTCAGTGAAATAAGCCAGACAGAGAAAGACAAGTACCAAATGATTTCCCTCATTTGTGGAATATAACAATGAAGCAAAACTGAAGGAACAAAACAGCAGCCGACTCAGAGACTCCAAGAAGGGACTAGCAGTTACCAAAGGGGAGGAGTTGGGGAGGGCGGGTAGGGAGGGAGGGAGAAGGGGATTGAGGAGTATTATGATTGGCACACATGGTGTGGGGAATCACGGGGAAGACAGTGTAGCACAGAGGAGGCAAATAGCATCTTACTACACTGATGGGCTGTGACTGCAGTGGGGTATGGTTGGTGGGACTCGATAATATGGGTGAATATAATAACCACATTGTTTTTCATGTGAAACCTTCATAAAAGTGTATATCAATAATACCTTAATAAAAAAAAAAGGAATCCATATCAGAAAAAATACTTCAGGAACTTTCTACTTTACAAGTTGGCAAATACTGGAGAAAAATATCTCCAGGGAAAACTGTGACAATGATATATTTATGATCACACAGTATATGGTTTCTCCCACTCTACTACATTAAACAAATCACTTTGTTGTCTGTCTATTTGCACATGATTGTTAAAACTTTCTATACTTTTATCTATCCTTTGGTCAAGCACAGTGCCTGGAACATTAGAAGTACTCAATAATATTTGTGGAATAAATGAAAGAATGGATGCTAAGTTCTCTCCATTTCTTAAGCAGAAAGAAAACTTCTTAAAGATGTTACTGATTATATGAACGTTTGATAGGTCAATGATTTTTCTGTGATACTTCCAGCATGGTTTCTAACTTATTAACATGCCCTATGGCTAATCAAAGTTTGCAAAGTAACCCATGCAAATGACAGGGTCAAGCTTCCCAGGGAGATGCAGAGCACCATGGTCACATCTGAGCTTGAATTCCAGAAGTCAATCAATTGGAATACATCACCCTTTAATAGACGTTTATCTCAAGCATTAAGGAAATAAATTTGGTATGGAAATAAGAGGAAAAGTATGTGTTTTTGTTTGTTTGTTTTTTCCTTTGGGATGGGTTTAGGTTTGACAATTTAGAAGTGGAGGGGATTAAAGGAGTAGTAGGTAAAGCATCTAATGAAAGTAGGAAGCAAAGAACCCAGCAGAAGGCATCAAAGTACATGGAGGTATTAAGGTGAGAAACCAAAGAAAGGAGGGGAAAGAGTGAAAGTAAGGAGAGGAGCACATTATTGTAGACAGTGCCACATATATATTTTTATCTGATGCACATTTATTCTTTATATAATTTTTCCTCTGAAATACTCCAAATGTTCTATATCAATTTAAAATAAGATTTCCTAGATTCACAAAACTACTAACCTTCTTTGGTACAATTGATTTGGGTTTCATCACTGAAGTCTCCACAATCATTGTCACCGTCGCAGGCCCAATGGCCCGGGATACATCTGCCACTGGAGCATCTGAACTGATGGTCAGAGCAGGAGTGAGCACAGCCGACCTCATCACTCCCGTCCCCACAGTCGTCATCTGGAGAGAAGAATCAGCCAGTGAAAACTGGTCCAGGGAGAAACTGCTTCTTATGAAGTATCTAACTTTTCTTTCCAGTATGGGGAGTTTTCTTTTGTTATTGAAAAAGAATGATAAATCAATGATCGACATTTTCTGTGGAAATGGGTGAAATATTTTCATTTTTTTACATTGCTTTGGTTCTAATTTAATATCACTACTAAATCAAGACAAACATATCCTTGACTTTAGATTTCAAAGCTCAATTTCTATTTCATTCAGAAATGACTAATTTCTGACTGAGTGAAATAACTCAGCATGAAATAACTATGAAGTGGGAGGACAATGGTGACAGCAAGAATTTCATGAAATGATACAGCTAGCAATTATTGTAGAAAATTATAATTTAGACCTACAATCTCTGCAGCCCAGAGTTTATATCTATAATTCAGACCTTTCTTCTCCATTCTCCAACATGAGGGGTCACTGTGTACCTTTACCCCACTTGCTTCGAAGTGTGTGCTCACACTAGGAAATTGTTGCACACTATCATTAGCAATGCTTTATATTCTTTATTAACAACTACTGCAGGAGGGAGGTGAGAGGAATGTGAAGTAAAAACAGATTAAATTGAAATCAAAGTTAGAGAATGTATTGATTTATAAATAATTCATTTACCTGTACTTGGCATAATTTAGCATAATGATACAATTGAGTATATGAACATCATTTGTACATAAAAAGCAAATGACAAGAGTTGAGAACATCTGGATAATTCCATACTAATTTACAAAATACTCCATCCTGAGGTGATAGTGCATTTTACATAAATACTTTGGGGAACCATAATTGCCCAGGTCATTTCCTCAATGTTCCCTTTACTTTATGTGTGTAGGCTTAAGACAATGTCCAGCATAATATCAGGAAACAAATCTCCATCATAGCCCCACAGGACAAACACTGAGCTCCAATATCCTTAATGCTAATCCCCATTGGTGTGTCAGCTGCCTTCTCACCATTTCTCATAGTCATTTTGCTTGTCTCTGCAAGCTTCTCCTACAAACCACCTCTGAAATAGAGAACCAGCACAGACAGCCAGGCCCCAATCAAATCAGTACAGTACAGTGAACATTTGGTACTTGCCAGAATCACAGTGCCATTTGCTGCTAATGCATCTTCCACTTTTGCATATAAATTGGGTTAGTGGCTCACAAGTTGGGAATTCTATGAAAGATATAAAAACATCCAACAGAAAGATTTTATTGACTGTGCTCAACTTAATTTGTATCTCATTTACTAACGTGATGAGAACTCTGCCCCTCTCTTCCACAAAAGGCGCAGAGGAAATGTTAGATAAATATAGAGACAGTAATTTTTTCAGGACACAGGATACACATATTTTAATACATTTTAAGAGAATGCTTTCCAGTACCTCAAAACCAAGGAGAATCATTTGATGAAGGACTGTTTGGATTCATTAAACTGGAAGAAAAATGAATAGATACCAATTCCCTGTACCAAGGGACTCGACCTCTCCGTGAATAACAGCTGGATGGAGCTACACTCGGGTGCTGTAATGTGCATATACTGCAAAGGAGAAAGGCCTCTTCTGAATACAGAAAGCCAGAGGAGGAAAGGTAGACCTAACCTTGCCTCTGAGGGATGTCAAGATCACAGGTTGAAAAATAAAACAAATAAAAAAATAAAAGCAGATCCATAAAATCAGGGTAGTTGATGTCATACAAAGATTTTGAAAGTTTGAGTTCTAAGGGAAAAAACAAAGACCCTGAAAATCAACAGCAAATAGATTCTAAAAAGAAATTTTACTCAATTATACTATAAAACCTCCACTTTCCTACCCTTAGATACTTATTTAACAAAAACAAACAAAATATAAAATTAGCATAGAAAGAGATTATAAAAGTAACCAGCCACTTCAAAGGATTAGTACATTCAATAGAAAATACTATCATAAGGTCATTTAATTAAGACTGACAGAAAAAAAAAAAAATCAGAGAAAGAAACAAAAAAGGTGTAGTGATCAAAGAAAAGTATAATTGTTAAATGGTTCATCAAAGGAAGTCAGAGTAGCTTACTAACATTTCCCAGGAGAAAGTTTTTCATATATGGAGAAAGTAATTTACCTATTTGCTCAACACCAGTCCTTTTAACTCTCAGGGCAACACTGATGGTATCATAAATCCTCACACACAATAGTTTATTTAATATACATTAAAAAGTATAAAAAGGACAAAAACCTCCATTAGTTCATTGACACAAGACAGAAGAAACTGACACACAGAGATGTATTTGTGTCCATTATTCTTTCATATTTTTTCATCTGACATCTGGAACCAAAGAGATTCTGTGGTAAATGTTTTTTTCCCCTTTAATACAACTGATTGTAGCAAACATTAAACATTAAGTGTTTAATGTTTAGAAGATGTACACTAGACAAAAAAGGAACTTTAAACAAAATATCTGTGTAAGGTATGGTTAAAATGAGTAAACAACTAAATTCATACTTAAGGTATGATAAAATCTGAATTAAAAAAATAACATTACATCTTTCTGTATCTATAATAGATCAACTCATATTTTTAAATCCGTTTTAAAAGCATATTTACCAATCACAAGTTTTACTAAAAAAGAAAAATTACCCTAAATTTCGGTGATGCCTGAAATCTGGTGATGCCTCATTGGTTGGAAAATTTTCCACATGACCTTTAAAATTCTTCCTCCCTTTTATATTCTAAGTCTAAAAACCAGCCAAAAAAGAACTTGCAAATTAGCTCCCAAAAGTTTAAAACTTTCAAAATGAATAAAACAAATCTAGCATATTTTCAATCTCTAAGACACTGTGAGCCATACAACATCTTTTGCCCATGGTGAATAAACATACATTCATGCATATAAATGTATAGGTGCTCTTACACAACTGCATTTCATTTCTGATTTTTAATATAGTATTTAATTATGTCACCTCTCTTTTTAACCTTTTTGTTTGACTGAGATTATAGGATCAAAAGGCAAATTACATAAAGAAAAAAAAATAAAAGTAGAGAAACACATAGTACAAGTCACTGCACAAAACAAAGGCATTAATTGAATTACAGCATTACAGGAAACCACGATAGCTGATTTTCAGAAAACTGAAAGAATAAATTAAGAAATACTAATATTATCTCTGGATTTCCTCTGCTCAATAATGTAGTCAAATGTGCAATATATTGTAGAAAGTGTTTCATCAAAAATTTTAAATATCGTATAAGGTCTTTCACTTTTCACTGATGTTGGAGAATAGCATATCTGTAATTTATTGGTATCCTGTCACCAGTACCTGATGGTGACAGAGAAACGAGGTCTGGTGATCATGTACTTTTTCCACTAAAAAAGGAAAAAAACACCAAAAAAAGATTTTAAAGTAAATCTAACATTTTCCCTATCCTTTCATATATTTTAAAAGTTGAAAATAGTATCTGAGTATTTTATCTTGTTTCTGAATACTTGTTCTGTTAAAATACCATTTTGAATTCTTACATTTGGCAAAGACTTAAACATTACACATAATTTTTTCTGTCTTGACTTTACATAATACCCTTTGACTGTGTATCTTGATACAGAAATTGTAGGACACTTGGCAAGATTACCTGATTAACTCCAAAAGAAAGAAAATGTGGCTTACATTTTGCCTCATTACAATTACAGTAAGAAAAAGAAAACTATATTTTATTTCTGTAGTTACTTTAACCTCATAGAATATTTAATATGGATTAGTGAGCTGTTAAAAATATTGTTGCAGATAGTATGCTCAATTTGTCTATTACATCTTTCACTTTAAATTTATTGCTACGTTATATATATATACTATTATGTAAATAGCAACAATTTTCTCTCTCTCAAGGGTAATCACAGTTGTTATGCTACTAATATTTGTCAAATATACAAAGCTTCACGGAATGTTTCCCAGTGAGGCAAATTTCAGAGTCAACTTATATTTCTCTCCTGTCTCTAACCTAGAAATTTCCCTAAGTAATCTTCCTCCTTGGGCCCAAAATGAATATTTTTAAGTAATTTTTTACTGAAGTCTCAAAATACTGTTACCATAGGTTTGTTTGAGAGCATGAAGGCTACAGTCTACAAATATGAATTTGACCTTTATGATTATGTGGAAATGTATAGGAAATTGAAGTTAAAATAAATGACAAAGTAAGATTATTATAGAAGTTCAGGGTTAGGAAAGTGTTATTTAAAACTGAAGGAGACAATAATACATTGCTTATTATTATTATTGAATATGATATATTATGCTAGCCCATATATAAAATGCCTATAACTCTTCACAGCAGCCCTGCAATTGTTAATGCTAACCTCAATTTGCAGAAGAAAACAGCATAACTTGCCTGAGGATATACTGCATAACCAGCCAGTGTCAGAATAAAATCTGAATACTAGTCTGACTGATTTCAATATATATTAATTTTTCACTATGTCATGCTGATCATACCAATAGCCTTAAAAATTACAGCATTGAAAAATGTGGGGAAAGACGAAAAATTTAATTCTTTCTTTGGTTTATGTCTTCCATTTAAACTCTATTTCTGATTTTTACCTCTTCTAATATATATAATTAAATATAAATATGGAAAATAGTGCTTTTTAAAATTATACAGATTATAGAACTATATCCTCTGAGAAAATATATGAATTTCTAGATAATGACACTAGTTATGGCTCCTGAAATTGGTGTTTATATAGAATAGACTTCCAAAGACCCAACAGAGTAAATATACTAGGGAGAAAACTATAAGAGAATGGTATACCACAAATTGTCTTCATTTTGTTGCTCTTTCAATGTTGTTACATAAAAACCCCATTTTATGTATTACAGTTAATGTCATACTTAAGAACATAGACTTTGTAGGCTGCCAAACCTGAGTTCAAATCTTGCCTTTAGCACTAATAAATGTGTGACCTCAGGCAGTTGCTTAACATCTCTGACCCCAGGTTACTACTCTGTAAAACAGAGTGGAAAAGTACTGCAGATTTTTATTCATTGGAAATATTTTTATTGAGAACTTTATACCAGTTAGAAATCTAAGTGTTTGAGATACATTACCTAGAATGAATGCACAAGTGAACTACTACTGGATACTGGGAATACAATGGTCAACACTGTCATTTCTCAGAGTCCTTACCATCTGGTAGGAAAGACATTTAAACATTTGCAAAAAATAAAACCAGTAATTACAATACACCTTTGATAGTGCTATGGTATAGGCAATATAAGTTGTGATTGCAACACACAGCAGAAACATCCAAACTAATCTTAGGTGTTACACCCCAGAGGAAGTGATATTTAAGCTGAGATGAATGATATTCATGTTAAATCAGAAAAAGAGAAGGGGAAGGGGTACCTTTAGAATATTCCAAAAAGATGGTATTCCTAAAGGCATAGAGGTCACAGTATATAAAATGTTTGAGAAATTGTAAGAATTTCAGAATTGCTGTAATAGGGTGTAAGACAGAAGCAGTGATATTTTAGGAGCTATAAATAGGCTTGAGTCACAAATTTGAAAATGATCATTATTGACATAATGAAGTTTTGGAAGTCAAATGGAACACCCAGAAAGCATATGTCAAATAAGACTTATACAAGAGCTAGGAAAAAATATTGAATAGTTCTGGCAATATGACAGAAAAATAAGACATGTTAAAGCAATAACCACACATATTAAAAAGTAGGTGAATGTGTAAGAAAATAATATAAATTTTCAGAGTCCAGAAATGAAAGGGTGCTGAAAACTAGAACAGTTAATGAGCTGTGTGTATGTGTGTGTTTGCGTGTCTGATTTTGTACAAGGATGGTGAATCTGTCATGTAGATGCTTGGGTTTTAATGTTAACATTGGACAGGTAACAGTTCTTTAGTTCCATACAAAGTATGGATCCCAGCATAGACCTTCAAATGCTAAAACCTTACTGGAAGCGTAGATGTCTAAGCCTCAACTGTTAATGGAAAAAGAGATATATAATTAAAAAATATATAAATGTATAATCACAAGACTATATCATAATCTCTACTTTCTGTAGTTCAGGTAAGCTCATTTTACTCATTTATCATTTTTTTAAAATTAAGGTAAATATTAATTCATGACATATAATATTTCAGAGGATTGTCAGGGTGCTCAGAGAAGTTGTGACCCCAAGATAGGCATCATCAGA